AACTCTCACTGTTATCCTGGATTTACTTACAAAATCTTATCCATCTCTTCAAGGCTGTTTTGCCACTGAAATAGCCTAACAATGTTGATGTGCCTTATATGGTGATACAAACCCTGGCAGCGACTGGAACCTTATAAATCCTCTTATGCAACTCCCCCCACGCCCCATCTGCTAGAACAGGGATCCTTCACGCCAGGAAGGGGAGTGACAGTGGCTAAAGTTTTCCACTTACAGTAAGTCAGAAAGTTTTAATAAAACTACTAATCATGATTCAACTTGACTACTTGAAGGAGGAAAAATAAGTCTTTATTTTTTATTTAAGGAGAAAGAAAAGCAAGAGAATACTGGATTACAATAAATTTTAGTATTAAATAACTACATCAAAATATAGTGACAGCTGACAACCTGATTCCAACGGAAAATTCATTTTAAAAGAGAGGAGGAAGAAGTACAAAGAGGATAATAGTTATAATAGAAGTCGCCTTACAGACCTCAACAGACCCTAAACAAAATACAGGCATACGTAAAAAAATAGTAACCAATATTCAAAGTGATGATCCTGAGTCACTAAAAAAAAGAAGCTCAGAGAATTAAATAGAAATATTTCTATTAAAAAGAACTGAACAAAAATGTTTGAAAACTTAACGGATACATTAGATGTACAAATTTGATCAAGGTGAACTGTTCCTTTTCTTGAGAATACTGTGTAAACAGACTTTCACTGAGTCACCTCAGTGTTACCCGCACCAGAAAAGTGGTCCACTGAAATGAATCTTTATATTTAGAATTCCCTCTTCCAGGTGAGTCATGTCTTTGGGGTAGAAGGAGACTATGTCCTCTGACCTTCTAATCCTAACCTCTGAAGGTCAGCAGCATTTAGCAATTTGACACCCAGAGAAATCAAAGGAAAAAAAAATCTCAGGAAAGAAGTGTCAACTGCTTGTAGAGATATGAAACTGTACGTAGCAGACTATATGTGCATTTCTTCCTCACAGGTGTGACCAGGATGTAAGTGCAAAAAAGGAGAAAACTATGGAGAGTTAACTCCCTGACCTTCTAAGTCCCTTCCCCATTTTCTTCACCAACTTTTCCCCTAGGCCTTCATACCCCTACAAAGACAAAATATGGTAATTCCCCAAATAAACCATTTTTTTTTTTTTTACAATACATTCTTATGTTTCCAACAGACTTTAGGTTTATAAAGAATGCTAAAAGTTATCATATATGGTTATTTTTTTTAATCATATGGCCTTTATATGTTTTTAATTCTGTCATTTTTCCCTATTCCCTTGAAGTAGAGAGGTGAGGGAATAGAGGAAGAAATTATTCCTCCTTTCGCTTTAGAATGCAAGCTCCTTAAGGACAGGGGCTTTGTCTGTTTTATTTACTGTTGTATTCCAACCGCCTACAACAATGTCTGGCACACAGTTAGAGCTCAAATACTTGATGAAGGAATAGCTGGATCTTGTACAATTACTATCCTGAACTTGGAAATGGAAAAGAATTGTTTGGAAGCAAACCTAACACGCTTCAAAAAACTGTTTAAGATATTTTATTCATATATACTTGCATTGATAGGGTTGGAAACTTAGTGACCACAATAATTCCAGCTATAATTAGCAAAATTATGTCACCAGTTCTAATGATATAGTTTTATAAATCAACTAATGAACTGTTATTTCACTTCATTCATTAAATACACTACTGAATCTCTATTATGTACCTGGTACTATTTTAGGCCAGAGAATCCATTGGTGAACCATATGCAGGAAACAAGAGGATAACCCAATTTTCTAAAACAGGGGGCTAGAGAGGTGGCAGAGTGTAGTAAAGAGATAGCCTCTAAAGCCAGATGTTCTGGGTTCAAACTTAGACTTACAACTCATCAGCTGTATGTTTTTGACAAGTTACTTAACCTCTGTATTCAGTTTCCCCACAGTAAAGTGGAGATAATGATAGCAGCTACCTAACATAAGGTAGTTGTATGGATTCAGAGTTAACATACAAAGCATTAAGAACAGTATGTAGCAAATACTATAATTATAGGTCTCTGTCACCATAAAATTTTCCTCTAAGGATTCTTACACCTTGTGGTGTTCTACTTACATGTCTGTTACTCTCTACTAGACTGTGAACCACCACCCCCTTGCTGTGAGAGCAGTCTGCCCTTGACTCAAATTTGTACTCCCATACAGTGTTCAACAAGTATTTGTTGAATTAATAAAAGAGTTAAGAAAAATATAAACACATGCTACTTCAATGTAAGCAGGCCAGGATAAGAAATAAAAATGAGCTGCTAAAAAACATGCTCCCAGTATCACAGTCCTTAGTGAAGTGGTTGTGGCCACTAATGAACAGCTGCTAATTCCATCTCAGCAGTTGCCTTGTTCTATGTCTATGAACAAATTATTTTCACAGATAAGTAATTCTATCTTATTAAGAGTAATATGAAGCCTAGTAAATGCCTGAATGTTTGATTATGAAATGGGAAAGGATATGTGTATTTGATTCTTTTTGCTCTTTGCAACATTGCAGTAGAAAATCAGGAGGGTGGGAGATTCCTGCTGACTTTCTACAATGTTACAGTGTGAAGACAGGTTACTATTCTTTGCTTAGATATCTGGGCAGTCTGCCAAGATCCAAAGCAGGAATGTCTCTGCTCTTGGCAGGGCTCTAATGACCTTCCTGCAGATTCAGACTGCCTTGCGCATGTGCTCAAGTCTCAGTTGTAAAGCTTGAATGTAAGTGTTCTTTCTGTTATTCTACAGAAAGACCCATGTATTCCTTTTTTACTTTCTAATTTACACATATTTCTGTAATATAAAAAACAAACTATCATTCAGATTTCTTCATACAGTTAATCCTTGCTGTCCCTCCCTATTCCTTCTTTTAAAAAAATTGCTTTGAACAGCTTACAAAAGATGGCTCTTTTTAAACTCAGTGATTGTTCACATGGTCTCCTGAGGAGGCAAGGAGATTCTGAGTCACCTGAGAGGGCTGTCAGTTTCAGTAAACTGACAGGAGTGTTCTTTCTTAGGGACATCTCTGTGTTATCTGGTGCCCAAGGGACCTTCCAGGGGTGAGGCCTGTCTTTATCTACTGCGTTGCAAAACAACGTAAGAATGGGGCCTCAGGATTCTTCCTGTGACCTTGGAAAAATCATTTAACCTCACCAGGCTACCTTTTAAAATTAGAGTAAATAATCTCCAAATTCCCTTCTAAGTCTAGAATTCCAATATTCTGAATTGCAGGGGAATAAAGCTATCAGGTAATATAAATGCTGATAAAATACTTTAGTTTGTATTTGCAATTTGTATGTTCCTCCAGAACCTCAGCTACTGAAAATAAATTTTCAAAATGACTTGATAATTGTATGGCACAATATGGTATGACGGAAAAAGCTGTAAGGCTCCTGGGAGCAAACTGTTGTATGACCTTGAGCAAATCATTCTCTTTGGGTCTCAATAAACTCAATTTTAAGATCTGAAGTGGGGGGAGATTTATCAAAATGATCTTTAAAGGTCCCATCCAGTTCTAAAATTATAAAGTCTCAGGTTCTCTGTTACTTCCGCATTCTTGCTAAGATTATTAGGTCAGAGACCACTGAAACCATCATTTAAATGACTAAATTATAAGTAGGAAACTGAGGTTTAAGATTTACTGAGAATTAGTAGGTGTCCCCACTGGACCCTTATAAAGGCAGAGGCAGTAATCCCCTTGCCTTAAAAATATGTCTTTTCAGGTTCTGGAAAATTTCCAATTCATTCAAATATTGCCCCATAGTTCCCACCTATTTCAGTATTTTGAGATAACGGAGGAAGAATAACTTCAACTATAAATACAAGTACTGGAGAAATTTGATGTCAAGTGTCACCTTCAAACGTCACGCAGATTATTCATACGACAGAGTTCCCTCACGCCGCGCCCCCCCCCTTCTCCCTTTCAGCAGAGACAAGATATGGTGATCTAGGTATCCAGACCTTCACAAGATGGTTACATTGTGTAACATTACAAGTAGTGGCTCTAGAATTCATAACCTACAGACCAGCAAAGAGTATCTACACTAGATTTTGCCTAGTGATGCCATAACTGCAACACGTCCTGTCATTACAAAAGGAGATCAATAAACAGGTTTTAAATAACATTTTGTGAAATTAGATATGGCGGAAACACGTCTCTCGAAAACGTCGATCGTTATCTGGAGTACCTGGTAAGCACAATCTTTACAACTGAGGGCCTTCTGCTTTCAAGGGCTTTGTGACAAAAGCCCTTAAAAACACTGTTGGCTCAATAAAAAAAAGGGGGGGGTTAGGAACCAAACATCCCCGCCTCCCATATCAAACCTTAGCATCCTTATCAAACCCTATATCGTGCTTTGGAGAAAACCCGCAGCTTATTTTGTACCCACGCCACGCAGCAGGACTGAGATTAAGCCTCTCCAAGGACAAATTTCTCCAGAGTCCTTGTAAGAGCTCCCCAGTGGAAACCGACCCCTTCCCAATTACTGGGTCACTGCGACAGTCCCCAAAAGATGAGTCGGGTTTTTCCAAAGGGCTGGAAAGACAGTGCCTTGCACAGCCGCCCCCCGCCCCGAAAGTCCTTCAAATGCAAGAAACCCCACACAAGAGCGCGAAGGTCGGGGGTCGGCAGGATCCAGAGGCCAATACTCACCATGATTAGGAAGTGCGCGAACAATTTCAGCACCTGCAAAACGAGCCTCAAAGAATTGGGTCACCTCTACCGCGGAACTGACTTGGGGAGGGCGAGCGATGTTAGAAAGAAAATGCTCATCTCCCAACCGCAGCGCCCTCTGGGAACTGTAGTTTATAGTGGCCGGATTCTGGCGCACTCTCCAACGCATTTCCTTCAAGTGTTGAACTACACTTCCCGAGGTCAGAGGGTCTGCTCACGCCCTTCTCCCTGCGCTCATCGCCATTGCAAAGTAGTCCCTGAGGGCGGGCCGCTGTGATTGGAGGACAGCGATGAGCAGAAGATTTGTGCTGAAGAGGAAAGACCCGCCTGTTGGCGCCCAGTAATTGGTGGGAGGGGAGGCATGTGGAACTCGAGGGAGGAGATACAGACCCTTTAGCTACATCACCCACTCGTGCGCAAGTGAGACTTATCTTACCCCAAGGGTAAACGTGGGAGGTAAAGAGACCTTCCGCTGCGTAGAAGCGGCTCGACCCGGAAACAAAGTCTTTTTAAAAAACTATTCACACTCTGGAGGGGCGGGCGGAATTGACGTGTCGCGAAGACTGGAAGGCTTCGCAAGTTGCTAAGCGACGAGGCTGGAGAGCGAGCGCACGCCCGAGCCGCTGGGGAGTTACCTGAGGGATTTGTGGCTGTTGCAGCTCCTAGACAGAAGAGACCGAGCGAGCGCGCCGCGGCCTGCCGGGTCCTCCTTCCCTAGTTGCCAGGGGGGACCCTCCGCTCTGGGTAGTGTCCGGTGACGAGCTGAGCAGCTTGCGGGGACGCCCCTCTGAGGCGGCCACGGGCCGCGCGTCTTCCCCACTCCAAGAGGCAGGTGAGCCCGGGCCCGAGGGCAAGGGTTTTTCTGTTAACCTTAGGGTCCGGAATGCGGTTGTGCGCCATCCGGCGTTGCTTTTATCTACCCGGGTGCTGACCTACTGGGTGGGTCCCCGCAGCCTCGCCGGTCCCTACTCAGCGCTGTTAGGACAATAGCATTCTGGAGGGTGTAGTGCCCTGAAGTTCTCGCGCCCTCCCTTCTGTAAGATGCGGCTCTTTCAGAGTTAAATAAAAAATAGTGAGCGCTTGCCTAAATGAGCCCTTCCCTTCCTGGAGCTCACAGTTCACGGATCTAACTTTTTCTTAAGACCTCCGTGAATGTTGACAGTTTTGCCCATTCGTTTTTGGAAACTGTCTGCTGTATAAACCATCTTGACCTTTAAATTATGCCAAACCTGCATTTCTAAGGAAAGTGTGGCAGCTGTATGGGGGACACTGGTTGTTTCAGGCAGAATCTCAACTGGTAAAACAAGAGGTTTTTATTTAAAATTAATGCTGCCCAAGAGAGTTGTAGTGCTCCTTGAAACCTTGTTTGATGTGGATATTGAAAGGAAGATGTGGTGTTCTGGAATAGCATATCTGTAAAGAAAATGAGTGCAGTATCTATATTAGATAACATTGCTGTAACTTCTAGTTTTTCTCTATCACTGGTAATTGAACGCCAAGTGGCATCGTTCAGTTTTACTCTCTTGAGGTAGACTCTTTTGGAGGGTTTGCTATTATGGGAAAGAATATAACACCTTTCCAATTTGTTTTATCAATAGCATTTATCATAACTGAATGGTTCTGTCTTCCTTGAATCACTTTATTCACTTGTTAATCATATACTTTTCTGGTTTTCCTCTTACGTCGCTGGTTGCCCCTTTCAGTTCCTCGAATGTTCTTTTTTACCTCTGACTTCTTAACATTGGAATGCCTTTGTCCTTCGGTCTACACTTAATCCCTAAGTGATATAAGTCATGAGTTGCATGTTACAAACGTCAAATGCATGATTACGTCTATGTCAGAAAACTCCCAAATTTGTGTCTTGTCCTGAATTGCAGATTCTTTGTCAAACTACTTCTTCGTTATTTCCCCATGATTTTCTAAATGCATCATTTTCACTATTTTACAGTGTTTTCTACTGAACAATCATATATGGAGGTAAAACACCACACCCTTTGATACAGGTAAAATGACCTGGAATTTCTGCAGTTCTAAGATGTTTGTTGTGGATGGGATTATGAGATTTCAAATGGTAGAGTAGTAAAGAGCTGCGAGTAGTTAGGTGAAGACCGGCTTAATAAATTGGCTAGGAAAGGGACGCCTGGGTGGCTCAGTTGGTTGGGCGGCTGCCTTCGGCTCAGGTCGTGATCCTGGAGTCCCGGGATCGAGTCCCACATTGGACTCCC